TTCGCCAGGGGCTATAAAGTAATTTACACAATGTGTCTCTGATTAAATGCCTCTCACGGCTCCAGTACCCCCGCAGAATCACGTGCGAAGTGCGCCGAACCCAAGGATCAAGCCACCAGGGCGGCCAACGGACCGCTAGCTCTAAATTTGGGCCTCTCACGGGCATCAGCCGTCATCTGGCTGTATCTACAACAAGCGGGCAAGAGGGCCAGATACAGCTTCTACCAAGTCCGTGCCCGTTGTGACTTTAAGGCCTCTAGCCGAATCATCTGGAGCCAAACTTAGCTCTGACGGCGCCCACTCACACTCATCCGTCTGATTCGGGTTGGTGGTGGCAGCACGACAATTTGCAAGTTGTGTGAAGAACAACTATATTACCTTTCGTTGGTCATCCGGCTTACTACTAACTCACTTCATTAACTCGTGGGTAGCAAGATATCTGTTCACTTGTAACTGTAAATTGCCTTTCATTCACCTCGAAAAGAAACAATCCCCTTGAACCAGCTCTGATCAATTTAGGTGGACGCACTTGCTATACGGCAACTCCTACTATGTGACATTTCCTAGACCAACTCTACAATACATACTCAGAGGCGTTCTTCCGATTGATCGTGTGTCGGAATCTTCTCTCTACTTTATACTCGTATATCCCCCATCTCTGTCGTTATCGGAGTGACACTGGTTATCTGTCTTTACGTTGTGACCATGTGCTCCTCATGGAGACCATCATTCAGGGGCATGGTAGACTTTCACGTGTTTCGGAGGCCTGGGGGATTTTATCCTCTTGCGGTCTTCGTTGTCGTCAGGTGCACAGGGGGAAAGATTTGGTCGGCCTCTTGTGGCTCTTAAATACTCATTAGAAGGGGTGTTTTCTTCTTTGGCTTTTTTAGTGCAGGCAGAAGGCGGCATATTTCTAGCGGAAAGTGCCTGCGGTTTGTCAGGCGGATGAACCATGTTCATCACTTCGTTGTGGGCCTCCTCCATCGATTTTAGTGGAGGTGAACGTCGAGTGCTACTGAGGCTAGTCGGAGAAGTTTCATCTCAATTGTCAGAGCCACTTGTTGTCTGGTGGGGGTCATTATAGGGAAATCTCGCCCCTTTTTAAGGTAGGAAGAACACACAGCACAAGAGGATAGCGATACACAATATGTGGTGCCGACAGCGGTGCACAATATCTGTAGCGCGACACAGGGAATAGTTATTTATCGGTAGAGGCCCACAAATGTTAGTTAACAGTTCAACCCAAAAGATATGTGTTGGTCTGGCGGGACGGCTTTCTTCTGAAGAGTTTGGCCAGCGCGGGAATGAGGCGATGGCAGAGCGGCCACAGGCACCACCAATTTCCACTGCAATAAGCTACTGTTCTTTTGTCACTAGACGCTCTCCTTTCGTCGAAAACAACGAAGCCATCGAACTCACAGACGAGACATTAGTCGGCTCACAGCTGTGCGCAATATCTGGCAGGCAAGTAGCTAATAGTCAGTGGGTCACTTTGACTTACAGGTGTATAACTCGCCGCCACAGATAGACCTTACGCTTGTGATCTTATATCATGATTTCTTTTAGAATCACTGCAAAAGTGTAATGAAAATCTCACCAATTAAGTATTTTCATTAGTTAGCTGCCTTTAAGTGGCATTACGTAGTACATTCCTCAACCGCGCCCGCCGTCCCTTCTGCCTCTGTCAGTCCTTACATACATTACTACTTAAATAGCACCTCTAACATGACAAATTAGTGAAATCTTTACACATAAACGTTGACATTTGTTGACCTAACACTCGCCACAGCTGAAACTTATCGCCTACGCTATTTCGTGAGAGTCAGATGAAAGGCAACGCAGAACCGTGACTATCAGAAAGTAAATAATTCCTCGTAAGCTTATTGATTCAGAAATGGTTCCGTGACTTACTGTGCAGCACGTTGTGAGAGAACTGTAAAAGTCGCCTGTACGTTGCCGATATTGTAGGTGAATTCGTTTGTTTGCACCTCTTAGTATGTTTACGTTGGTTCGAGGATCATTTTTGTAGACGCGTTTAGTATCGGAGAGATTGTGTGAACTGGGGACGGAATGAAATTTAACTACGAAACTCATCAACTAATTCAGAATAAGCGAATTCGTTGAAACGCTAATTGAATAATTCGAATTCTAAACGCGCCGACGCCTCTAGCCGAGTTAATTTACTACACTTGAAGTCACGGAGGCTAAGCGAATTCGAGACTCGCGAATTTCCTGGTTGGGTGTCCGTCTGGGAACCCCGGGATCGAACGGAGTCGAGCCCCTGGCCGAAGGGATAAAAGGAACTAACTGCGACGTGACGAGTCTTCACAAAGATAGTATAGGAGGGTTTCTCCACGTATGTGCTCAACGCCACACAAGGATACTTCAAGAGGCGGTCATTCGACGCAACAAATTTAAAAAGAGATATCTGTTTTTAGTCGTGATTAATAATACTGATTGAAGTTTTTGCGTTTGTACATGGTCATTTTGAATGTACCGCATTGTGTTGTAATCGGCCACTTCAAGTCTTGTGATTTGTCTATTGTTCACGTTTGTGAAGTTGGCGTGGTTTACGTCTGTTAAGTATCTTTAAGATTTTATTGTCTAGAGAGCACAAAACGTAGAGAGAATAGTAGCCGTGATACAAATACGTATGAAAGTAGTAATAAATAAACAAGAACCCAGACATCGATAAAAATACTATTCAAACGAATACCTTTGATATTAATTTATTCAATTATTTAATATAAGTAACATGCTATTTTTTGCGTGGCTGGTCTCATGATACAGAAATAAAGGGTGAAAAATATTTCTTAATTCAGCCAACCTTATCCATTAAACAATAAAAATTAGAAACCCAATCAAATAATTGAAAATGATAACTAATTTTTTTTCATCATTTGACCCAACATCAAACATGTTAAATATTCCTATAAATTGATTAAGTACTTACTTTTTCAGCAGACTCCTTTAACGTTGTAATATCACGGTAAAACTTTGGAGTAGTGAGGAAACTCATAATTTGTCCGGTATAAGCGTTTGTCAAAACAACGCTGAACACCAATAATAATGCCAGAAAAATTCTTTCCGGTTGAGACTTTACCTGTAAAGTACATTACTCGTCTTAAACAAACACTTGAGTTTCATGTAAGTTAATGTACACGCACAATAAAAACGAGTTCATTATTAGTCTGGAATAATTAGGAGATTGTAATTATCTAAATAAAATGAAATGTGAGTATAATTATAACGTGGGGTGCTAAAGATTTGCATAGACATTTTCGTACTAGTTTTCTATTTTCTCTGGTCTAGGCTAGCGTACTGGCCTTGCTACAAATTCTAATCAGCTGCCATCTATAGCGACCTAAATTAATTTCTTTATTGACATTTTCTCAAATTTTCGGTTTCCTAATAATAGGCCGAAATATTACTATAAGAATATTACAGAGGAGTAAAACTTCGTTTTAAATGACAATTTTATTGAAAACCTTTCGGTCGTTTTTAAGAAAATGGCGTTTAAGCGTTACTGTAAATGTGAAATTTGAAGCTCTTTTTCATACAAAATGTTTGAGTTTTCGAACAAATTCATTGAAAGTCACTTCCACACACAAACGTAGTTAAGTGTACAAAATTAGAAATGTATATATTGAAGGTGTGAGAGATATTTCAAAACTTTACATTTGTGTAACTATTGAAAAAACTAAAAAATTGTCCAAAAGGAATTTTATGATACAGTATACACATAAACTATCGATTGAAAAAGTTTGAAGGAAGAAGTTGATGTTGATCTTGAGAAAATGGCCTTTAATTTTTAAAAAAACGCGAAATTTTGAGCACATTTTGACAGAAAACTTTTCAGCTTTCGGGAAACATAACATAACATCAATTGAAGCACATGTACTCATAAATATAATGTGATCGAATTGCCGCTAATGTATATATTAACGACGTGAGAGGCAAGTAAAAAAATACATTTTAGTTACTTTTTGAATAAACAAAAGAATACAGTAATAGGAGTTTATGTGATCTCATAAGGTTCATTTGGCATTATTCCTACGAATAGTTAAAAAAAATTGTAGCTGTTTTTGAGAAAACCCTGTTTGTTATTTTTTAATATTGGACACATACTGCACGGAATATTGCGCAAAAAGTACTAACATTTTCCAAAAATGTACATGACTTTAAGGAAAGAACTATTTAGAAAACAATTACTTGAAAGAAAAATCTCTATCTCCAATTTTGTAGTATTAGAAATAAGCCTAAAAATTTTCAAACTTTTGAAATTTTCGAAAATTTAGAATTAACTGTAAATATCGGGCCTTGCCCTTCTTTACAGGTGTATTTTACTCTATTCTTATAAGAATTTACAGGAACATTTTAGAGTAAATTTTGAAAAAGGAATTGAAAATGCTTCATGTAATCTACCCTCAAAAATTAATAATTGTTTTTCAAAACTTCTTGAGTGCAAATATCTCGTCAGGTTTCTTAATTACTCTGTTTATCTACTTGTATCTAATTGCATCTTCTTGGCTGTCCAGAAAACGCCATGTCTTAGGCGACAGATGACTAAATTTCGGTAGTTATACTACGTCCTGTCTCAGAGAGAAATGCGCGAAGGTTGTCTGCGCACAGATTCTATCTCCCATCTCTATCCTTTTTTTATGCCATCTGCAGTTAAGTAAGATTAAAACTGTTTTTTACTAATTTCATACAAGATGCTGTAACTTATCATTGGTAAGATTCTCCAAAATGCATCGAAAGGGTCAGAATTCTGGAATCAAAATGATGGTAAATGCTCAGGACTGAAACTGTTAAAAATTGTACGATTTTCTCAGATGTAATTTAGCTTTCGTCGCAATATGGCGAGGTTCTCTTACTTTGCGGTTCGCGCCTCCAGAGACGAAAGTGCCAAAAGCGTCTGTGAAAGCTCGGCCAAAGCGTTCGGCCATCAGCCAGCAGCCCCTAGTGCGTCGTTTCGCCGTGAGTTCGCCGGGCGCTACCAGAGGCCACAGAAGCGTCGCCAGCAACAGCGTCAGCCCCACGCACACCCACGTGTGCAGCTGGTAGGGCAGCACCAGCACCAACGTGAAGGGCACGCGCTCCGCCTTGCGCACCACCAGACACAAGTCCTCTTGCGACAGCGGCAACGTATATTCCACCACATCCAGCAAGTCCAGGTCGAGTGGGAGCGCCATGGTGAACACGTAAGAGCTTCGATCAACTAACCTGTAAAATGGAATTAAAGTGAACATCCTACGTATAGTAATAGATTAATATGCGTTTGGCCACGAACTCGACCAGACACAGGACGTCTTGCGCCACCAGCAGCGTATATTACGCCACATCCAGCAAATCCAGGTCCAATGGGAGCGCCATTGTGAACGTGTGAAGGGTTAGAAGGGTTAAACTGTAGCAAGGAACCAACGTGAACGCCCTAAGTATTGAAATTGGGTAATGTGGATGTGTTCAATGGAAATTGTGTTGTATGTACGTTTGCCCCATACTATCGATTAGATCTTATTCATTACTAACGGTCAGATCTTATCCTGTAAAACCAGCCACATCTTACCCGTTACTGACTGAAATCTTTTCAATTTCTAGCGGTCAGACAGCCATTACTGATGACCAGATATTACTTTCAGATATATTACAGATCCGTTACCAACGACCCTTATTCATTTTTAACGGTCAGATCTTTCTCGTTATTAACGACCAGACCAGACTTCATTTAAGTAAAAGGTCAATATCGTCTTAGTCTTCACGAAAAGAAATGACTTTATTTTATGACACTACTATTGTCATAAATAATAATTCTTGAACGTAGTTGTTAAGAAAGTCTTAGAACACTTTGAGTGTAATCAGACTTTCAGTATTCACCATTATTAGGTATTTCTGAAATAATTTAGTGGTGTGATTCATCAGATGCACTGTAATTTACCTCAAAATTATACGTTTAAACATTATATTATTTTAAAACTGTACTCAACGTTTACGATACGACTACAAAACTATTGAGAATCAATTGTAACTTCCCTAACTCATCCCTTTCTTTGCTCGTGTTTCATCGATATGTAGACTAATGTAGGTTGTAAGCGGACCCTCCAAAGTGACGTATCTTTTAATTTCACGGGTAGCATTACTTCAGGCCTCCAGCGTATTTTCCCAACGTTCCTAAAAATGCCTTTCGTGTTTTCCCGCGTTACCCATATCCCTTCCAATCGTTTTCCCACTTTATCACCTTCCTTTCGGTTTCATTCATCTTCGTTTCCCCCTTTCCCATTTTCCCACTTTTGCGTTTTATCCCTTTCCAGTTTCCCCCTTCCCTCCTTTCCCCTATTTCGACTTTCCTATTTTCTCACTTTTCTTTCCGACGGATTCTTTCTACAACTAAAATATTGATTATAGAGATTTTTCCTTAAAGGAATCTATTCTTTAAATGCATGTTTTGAAATAAGTTAATGTAAAATTTTTCATAAATGTGAGTAGTCTTCGCGTAATTTTGCGTGAAATATACGCAATTTTTAATGTTGTTTAAACCATTTGTTTATCGAAAACGGTAGGAAATGGTTTGATTAATTTTTTACCGCAGATAGCGTAAAAATGTTTAGGAGAATGGTGCTGGTAAAATTTTCGTTGCAGTCTTCCGACAGCTAAAATATATTTTTTTAATTTATTTCTTCTCGTTTGACCAAAGGTCTTTCGAGGGGTTTCCGTTTACATGCTGAATTTTTTGGGGATTTAGGCATTCCTTGACAAGTTGAGGTTAAAAACTCTGGCTCATTTTATTCATTCGTTTTCTTCTAGAATCTTCTGAAATTTAATGTTGATTTTTTTTGGGGGGGAGGGGGATAAACTGTTAGGATTGCCCTGTCGAGCAATAGGAAGGGATACGTGAAAGATTCTACTGAGATACAGGATGATACTATTAGTTTAGAGAGGTTTAAGCAAATCTTTGGGAAATTTAGATTTCATTCGACTTGGGATGTTTCCTTTTTTTAAAAATTTTAAATTTAAAATAAACGGCTCATAAAATTTTATGATTAAATTTTGTTGCTCAAAAGAGCGAAAAGCGTTTAAGAGAATGGTGCAGGTATCATTGTCAGTAATTTCACATATTTTTCCAAAATTGCAAAAAAAAAATTCAAAACTACAAAATTGGCGATAGAGGTGTTTAGCTTATACAAAGTTAGTTGTACAAAATTAGATCTTTAAGAAAGGACATGTTCATTTTTGTAAAAGTTAGTATTGTGTGCATAATGTGTGCTTGAAATTCACAACAAAATCACGATCCAATTTTTTTAAAAACTTTTCCTACGTATAAAGGGCGATAAAAAATAAGGTGCTGGTCCCATTTTCGGATATTGCTAGCTTTTTTCGAAAATTACAAAAAACAAATTTAAAAATACAAAATTAAAGGATTTGTCTCAGGCAATACCCGCACCATTAGTTCATGAATGTTATTTGGTGTAATCTCTGTGCACGATATAATTAGAGGAACAGTATGAACCTTTTGAAAATGCCATAATGTCATGATTTCTGTTGCCAGATTTGTGTACTTTGCTATATTTTCTGCCTTTGCTGTTTTAAGAGTTGCTGTTTATGGAACAGTGATGTTAATTAGGTAGCCAGTCTTTGTACGTTTGTGTACACAGTCATGTCTGGGCTGTTATTATGAATGGTTTTATCTTTGATAATTTTTCGGTCATAGTGCAACTTATTATTTGAATTTTCAAGTACAGTATAGGGAATATATTTGTAAAATGGACAGGTTATATCTCGTGGTTTGGTGTGCGCCGCTAGTTACTAGTGAATAATTTTGCAACTTGGTTGGGCTTATAGGTGTCATCTGTGTAGGCCATTAATTTGCATCCTGATGTGATGTGCAGTATGCTCTCAACTGTTTTATTGCTTTTTTTTTCATTTGTCATCTATTGTTTGTTTGATGACATGTTTTCTGCAGTTCTTAGTGTTGATCACTTGATACTGTACGGCAACCATGAACCCTTCTGTTTCGCCAAACAGACCTTCATATTTTAGCCGAGTGTTTGGTGCTATTTAGTCTACACGAGGTTGTTTGAGATCATTTGCATTGCGTTCCTGGAGTAGCTTTCTTGGCCACGTGTCTATTTTGCAGTTATTGTGTACAACCCGCGAAGAAATGTTCAGCTGCTCATTGTTAAGGTTAAGATGGGTTAGTTTATTATCTGATTGAACTTTTGCAGCGGGTAATTTTGTGGTTGCCTGTTTCCCATAATAAAAATTTCTTAGTGAATGGATTATTGTTTGTAGCACGAATTCTTTAGATCTATTAAAACTCTCCCTTCCTCATTTCGTGGGCGTATACTCGTTTTATTGCGCTATTTAGATGGTGATGTCTGAATTTTGGCAAGTTATTATTATTGTTTATTCTCAAAGTTTTTGGTTTCACATGGATACCACATTTTATCACAGATAAAATATCAAAGCATGGCAGCACAGGCGTATTTAAAATCAACAAAACAAATTAGGGCATTCTAACACATAAACATAAAATACCTGTTTTCAGATTGTAAACATAAAATAACAGTTTTCAAATGCTAATAACAAATACAATTTTAAGAGTAAGCTTTCAAAACCCAACATGTCCTCCCATGAATCTCCTGACTAGTGAGCAGGTACTGATTATAACCGACTTCTGGAGGCTGATGATAATGCTCTTCTCCACGCAGAGTTCTTCCAGCGATCTGCAGAGAGTTTTTGGTATCACGCCAGTTGCTGATAGTACAATTGGGATAGTTTTCACTTATTATTATTATTATTATTATTATTATTATTATTATTATTATTATTATTATTATTATTATTGTTATTATTCACTAACGATTTCTTGTAAGAACTTCAAAGCTATAATAATTGTAAACTAAGTTATTTAAATGAGAAGCTTACCTCTTAAAAGGTCCTTTCTCTGTTTTGTTTCCAATGTCCTTTATAGTGACTTCTTCACTATTGAAAAATGTGGCAAAGCCTTGAAGTGTCTTATGGCCCATTATATCAGGACCATCAAGTGATGTGTTAAATCCATTTTTTTTCCTCCAGCCTTGAGAGAGAAATTGATTTCTGCTATGCAACATTTGCAAAAGTCTGTATCTCCACACCCATTTTTTGTGATCGTTGATGGAGTTTATGGGATCTGCGGCCCTGGCATCCGTAATATACTTATCGAAAGGTTTCCTCAAGAAATATGCATCTGGAATAAGACGATTAATTCTGGCGAATATGGGTTTCTTTTGACGTCTATATAACGTGAAAGATAGATATGTTATGGGCGCAGTCGACGCTTTTGCATATATAGGCAATGACAGCAAAACAAACCTGGAATCATAACAACAATATTACATTTTGGTTGTTAGTTGACTGAGACAAAATTATTTACAGCTATTAATGATCATTTAAAGTTCAGATCTTACCAGGAAAACATTTTAAAGATATTTTCGTTTTAGAAGCAGAAAAAAGATATGTATAATTATTTACCTCTATAAATAACATCTTATTACATACGTAATTTAAAGAAGGCTATACATAGTATTTAAACAGGCAAATTCGGACAATTTTGTGAAGAACCCCTGTTCAGAAGACCAGATACACCAAACATGTAATAGAAGGTCCAAAAATATTATGCAAATTACCTCGTAAGCAATACACCTAGAAGTCTTTTTTTTCAAAAAAGTTTTATTTTTTTAGTAAGCAACGTGTTTACTTTCCTGTATACATACATATCCACGTCCTGGAATTTAGCAGTGTTATATTGAGTTTAGAATAGCATTTGCTCTAATACGTGAATTGTTCATCACCTTACAATATTGTACAAGAAGATTTGTGAAAATTTGGCAAATATTTTGTGACTTGCGTACCCGTGTTAGAACTCTCGCATGTTAAACACGACCCTAATTTATCCTAGTGGTATCGTGTGTCTGAAATGTGTGGTCTGTTTCCATCATAGTTCCCTCCATAATTAGGTACTCAACATTTGTTGACAACGGAAAAACGTTAAATGAATGATTTCACTACATGCATAAGAAACAATCTCATCGGTATCAAGCAACTTGTTATAGTGCTTCTAGTTTTTGCTGTGAGAGTGAATCTTGCATTAATAATTATACAAATATACCTCACGCTGTCAGTCTACGCAAATCAAGGTGTACACAGACATTTTATAGTATATGATGGAGGAAACTAAGCCTTGTATGCGCCACGTCTGAAAAATAGCCACCAGCACCAAGGATTGAAGTATAGGTCACGTAGGAAGATATTCTGTATTCGTCCATGTACTGGTAGTATTGTTAAGCACCGATCCGTCAAAAATTAATAGAATGTCCATGAATACCTCATCCTATACGTTAGGTGTGAGAAACATTCCTTAGAGGACTTCATCCTTCAAACTTTTTTGTTTGTAAGGCCAGAAAACGCTTCTTTTAGGCCGTATTTAATGATATTGCTGACCTAAAGTGTTGCGGGTATTGCATATTCAGATGCGTTTATTTTTTTGAATTGAATTGATGCCTTAGTTTGCGACGCGAGACTCAAGCCATCAGGCCCGCTCTTCCGTCTGACTGCGCAAATTTCGCTACGCTCCTTTCACCAACTAGAGGAGACACGAGGTATTTCTTGAGCGACGAAACAGGAGATTTGAATATAACTAAGAGGCGTTATTTAGGCTTGAGGATCTTTTACATGCAAGTAAATCTACTGACATGGGACAACCGACTTTACTTCCCCGCGCGTACGAAGGATTTTTTCGCTCTTAAAAATCCACGGCTTCGAACGGATTTGAACCCTCAAAATTGGGTATAACAGTCCGATACGCTGACCGTTACACCACCGCCGCCGCTTCGATTAAAACAAATTCTTCATATTTCTAAGGTTTAAGTACAATTCATCACGTCTCTGTAAAATTCTTTTTCTTTAGAGACGTCATTTACAAAGATCGGTTTCGTGTGAGAGCCACAAAAGTTATGTATACAACTGAAATAACGTAGGAGACGCTATATTGAAAAAAATTAAAAACAATGCTTTTTCATTTTGAGCTATTCATATTATCTTCTTTGGAACACTTGGAAACTTTATAAAGAACTTTTAGAAATCATATAAAATTAATATCTACCTCTGAAACCCACTAATATCTCGCTTACACGCAGCTGTTGCAAACCAGTTTCTTACAACACAAACAACACAACTGACAATAATGTAAAACTCTGCGTGGAGAGGAAAAGTGAAAACAATAGCTAGATACCTGTAGTTAAAAGTTTCTCTAAGACAATAGTGTCATATTTGTCAATACGCCATGACACTTAGAACAAAAATCAATTGAAACGTCAAAATATCAACAATGAGAAAGATAAGTCAGGGGCAACTTAAGTTCCCGCGGAGACATTTCTATATAATCCAAAAATTCTTTACTATAAAAAGTGTGATAAAATCTTGCAAATAAACGAATATTTACATACAATATTTACACCCATTAATAAGGAAAAAAAGAACAGGGGATCCTAGGTTCCCCGCTCGGCCATGCGAGTGATATGTTCGAAGCGATATACATTGTGTAGGAAAAGTCATGTAATGGTGCAGAAACTGGATTTCAAGATTTCAGGGGAATTTAATTTTTTTTAAATGTATTTTTTAGTTATCACTAACGTCGTTAATATTTGTATTAATGGTAATTTGTTCATATTATTGTATTAACGTACACGTGCTTTAAATCATGTCATATAAAGCTTCTCGAAACTGAGCCGTTTTCTGTGAAAACTAGCTCAAAATTCCGCATTTTCAGAAACTCCCAAAATACTTTTTCTCATAAGTAGCTCAAAATTTTTTCTTTAATCTTTTAGAACGAATAGTGTTAATTGCACTCTTTAATTTGACGTAAAGTTCATTTCGAGTTATTTTTTTTTGTTTTTTCAAACATTTCTCTAATGTAATTTTTTTTTAAATACCTCACGCCGTTAGTATGCACATTTCCAGCAATTTGTTAACACTACTGTATTTGTTAGTTATTGTACTTCAAAATACGTCTTCTTCTTCTTCGTATTTTATATATATATATATATATATATATATATATATATATATATATATATTGAAACAAAGAACGTTCCTATAATAAGAACTATTAAAAAATCACAAATTCTAAATTAAAACAAAACACTTGAGTTGATCAGCGCAGTAACGCCGCCGCCACCAACGGTCAAATCGGGGGAACCGGCGAGGCGAGCGACAGTTAGTGGAGTGCGGAAAGGCATTCGGTGAAGTACGGACGGGGCTGTGATGCGCCCAAGAGATTTTCCCCAATTATTCAATACAGTTGGAATAAGTGAGGCCGCCGAGTGTAGAATCAAGTTTGCCCAGGATTGATAGTTAAATGATTAGCGGAAGTGAAATTGCGCATCACAATTGAGAAAGACCAATAAGATAGTAAATCGCGTGGCCGATGGGCTAGTGTCTTGATCCCGCACTGGAACAACATAATAGTGGACAGTGCCGAACAGACATCTGTGCGAAGCCGAGAAAGGTCACTGAAAGGATTAGAATAGCCGACGAACATTAATCTCGCGTCGTTCGTTCCCGAATTTGTGAGACATTGTTCACACCAGTTGGGGCGGACCCCGGCGAAATCATCAGCCGTTACGTAGGGCCGGAGGAGCTGATCGCCGAGGGAGGGCGAATCCCCGACGGGCTTCGGGGCGAACCGAAGCTTGCCGAAGCCACCGCCGCCGTTGCAACGACGGCCCCGGACGCATCCGGAGGGAGCAGATGGTGTTTTAAAGGTCGAGATAGTTTGTACATTGGAAGTGATCGGCGCGCTTATTTTCAAGACCTAAGCATTACTGTTTGTAAATATTATTTGTGAGGTTTATTCTTTGGTCATTAAAACGTTTAGATGTATAAAAGAATTTATGACAATTCTATTCCCATGTTGCGCCAAATTCCTAGAGACCCATTCATGAAAATGTACCTGTCCCTTGCATAATTTTGTCGTCGTGAAAGTACCGCTTCTCAGGTACGTCACAATATATACCTGGCTTCGATCATTTGTTTCGTCTTTCTATCCTCTGCCATTCTATTAACATATCCATGCCACTTCAGAGCCTTATTTTCTATTTCATTCAGCAGCAGTGAAACTTTTAGTTCTTCTCTAATTGTGTTATTCGATAATTGTGTTAATTGTGTTATCCGATCTCTTCTTGTTTTCCCTACTTTACTGCTTCTTGTTTTCCCTACTATTTCATTTCGACTGCTTTGATTCTACTTTCTGTTTTCGTATTGTGTGCCATACTTTCAGTTCCTTACATAAATGTTGGAACTTTTAAATTTGGAGTTTTGTTTTAGTGCCTACATTCATTCTTAGTAAGTTCTTATTTATTTGATAATACAACGAGTTTGCTTTTTTCACTCTATTATTCACTTCCTTCTCACATTTTCAGTCTTCCGAAATTATTCTAAAATACTTCTTAAAATTCTTCTTAAAAAATTCTTTCTAAATACTCATAACTTGTTGCTCCAAGTTTTCCTGTCTCCACTTAATGTTCATTTCCTCATTTTCTTTGCATATACTCATAACCTTGGTCTTATTGATATTTATCTTCATATCCCTATCCTTCAGTGCATACCTCCACTCAATTACCATCTCTTTCAGCTCTCTTGGATATTTGGCGACCAATAAAATATCGTCAACTTACATCAAGGCTTGTATCCATACTTGTGTCATTTTCCAATTTCCAATTTTACATTTCTTAGTTCGCTTTTTGGTGTGTTTAATAATCTGATTCATAAAGATTATGAATAGTAAAGGGCTCAATGAATCTCCCTGTTTAACTCCTGTGTTTATTCTAAATTTCCCACATAATTGTACATCCCCAACACAGTAACATACACATTTTTATATATGCTTTTAATTACCCTCATCATTTTGCTTGAAACCTCCGCTTTATCCAGTGCGTCTCATAGTTCTTTCCTGGGTACTGTATCGAATGCTGACTTTAAATCTATGAAAGCAGTGCATTTTGTTTTCCCCTTCTCAATGTTTTTTTCAATGCTGGTTCTTATAGTGTAAATATGGTCTTATGTTTGTCTGTAT